TGAGCCACTGTGTCCCGCCTATATGAAGGTTTTTTTTTTTTTGTTTTTTTTTTTTGAGATGGAGTCTCACTCTCTCACCTAGACTGGAGTGCAATGGCACTATCTCGGCTCACTGCAACCTCTACCTCCTGGGTTGTGATTCTCCTGTCTCAGCCTCCCAAGTAGCTGGGATTACACGTGCACCCTGTCATGCCTGGCTAATATTTTGTATTTTTAGTAGAGACAGGATTTCACCGTGCTGCCCAGGCTGGTCTTGAACTCTTGACCTCAGGCAATCCACCCACCTCAGCCTCCCAAAGTGCTAGGATTACAGGCATAAGCCACCGCACCTGGCATGAAGGATTTCTTATAGTTTATTTCATGTAACCTCAAATTACATAAAAGGTGAATGACTTGCTTTTTCAGGATCCACATTTTACTTCTTAAATAAAGCAGCGTGATACAGAACAATCCATATAGTATGATTTCATTAAAACAAAGACATACCTATGTGGGTATGCATCTATATACACATGCACACACTCCATTCAAATAATTCTACAATTCCAGAAGGACCAAATTGTCACTAGTGGTTACCTCTGGTGTGTAGGAATGGCAGAGGCAGGAGGGTAGGAAGGTGTGCATATGTGCATGGGAGGGCTATGTGGGCAGACACTTTCACATTTCACTCCTTGCTTATTATTATTTTTATTTTTACAATAAGCATTCTTTTTTTCTGTTTTACAACACCAGCAAAAGTCACATTCTCAGAAGACGAAAGGATTTTCTTTGGGTACAGAGGTCTCCCCACCAGGCTCCTTTTCATACCTGGTGGCTGCAGTTACCTTCCAGAGCACAGCGGAACCAACCCACGGCAATCGGAGTCCTTCTTTCTACTTTTCAGACCCTTGAATGGTTGGCTATCACCTCATGAAAACCTGGCTTTAAATGGCAGCCCCCAAATTCAAGAGAAAACACCAATTGCAAACAATTCTAAAAGTCAGGCCATTGGGCCCTTGGGACCCAGAGGGGAGTGAAATTCCAGAGCAAAAGGAAAATGTAATCACTGTCCCACACACCCTGGGAATGGGCTGGACTCCTGACTTTGCCCATCGCCCCTAGAGAGTGAGACGGGGAGATCCCTACAGCAGCGAGAGGCTCTCCTTCTGGCTTCAGCTTTACTGACCCCCAGTGACACCTTGAGCAGCTAGCTTCTCATGCTGCCTCCAGTGCAAGAACAACTTTTCCAGCCTAGAACAGCAGTTGCATGAAACCTACCATTGACTGTGCCCTTATTATAAATGCGCCCTGCACTGTGTTCACAATAAACCCACAAAGGAGCTTTTATACTTGTCCTCATCTTACAGATGGAGAAACGGAGGATCGGAGATGTGAAATGACTTGCTCCAGTTCACTCGGCTAGCCGTGACAGTTAGAACCCATCCCATCCAGACTGACTCCCAAGCCTGCACTCAGCCTCTAAACTAGGCAGGGCACCACAGTCAGATGACTTCAGAGCGAGTGGGCACTGACCACCCAGTGCAGTGAAAAGAGACATCCACTGGAATCAGACAGATTCCCATTTGGTCTCTGCCCCTGGGTAAGTCACTTCCTCCATTTGAGCCTAAATATCCACATCTGTAAAAAGGGACAACAATATCTTTCTCTCAGGGTTGTGCTGAGAATTAGAAATAAGACAGGTACAGAGCCTATGGCGGCCCTTTCTCTCCATTCCCGGGGCCTCATCCCTTGCAGGCTTCTGGCATTACGCTTCTCCAATCTGCACCCCACACGGCACCCAGAAAGACCCATCACCAAAACCTTCCCCATTTCCTTAGTAAAGCCTGCTCCACGCTGACCTCACCCGCTCCTCTAGCACAGCCTTCCTCCTTCTGCAGAACACCCTGCGCCCATGCTCAGTTCCACATTTTTGGACATGCTGGTCCACTTTCCAGGAATACCCTCCCCCTCACACCCCTTCTCTTCTCCTCCAAGGTCCCACTCATATCCTCATATCCTCCGGGAAGCTTCTGGAATCCCACCCCACACGCAGGGTTAGGGACTCCTTCCTCTGCCCAACACTTCATTCCTCAATTGTCAATAAGCATGCTTTAGAGGAAATTAAGATGATTTCGTGCTCTATAAATCTGTCTGCGCTACTGTCTTTTCCTCCTCGAGGACTGGGCCTGGCACAGTGTCTAGCACACAGTCAGTGCTTAGGAAGTGTTTAGAGCATGAATAGATGAAGACCAACTGCATCTCTGTAAAAGGAACATTTTCCAATTATTTGAGTTATTCACAGGAAGATGGGCTGCCAGTGAGTACCCTGTCACCGGGAGAGTGTACACTGTGGGAGCAGGGAAGAGCAGAGGTGTGGATGTGAATTCCAAATGACACAAACCATTGATGAGGTATGCTGGAATCATCTGGAGTACTGGTCGCTATTTTTTCTTTTTTGAGATGGAGTCTTGCTCTGTTGCCCAGGCTGGAGTGCAGTGGCGTGATCTCGGCTCACTGCAACCTCTGCCTCCTGTGTTCAAGCAATTCTCCTGTCTCAGCCTCCCCAGTAGCTGGGATTACAGGCATGCACCGCCATGCCCAGCTAATTCGTGTATTTTTAGTAGAGACAGGTTTCCACCATGTTGGCCAAGCTGGTCTCAAACTTCTGACCTTGTGATCTTTGTGCCTTAGCCTCCCAAAGTGCTGGGATGACAGGTATGAGCCACTGTGCCTGGCCCTGGTTGCTATTAATAATACAGATTTTTCGATTCAGGAGACTCTGATGCTGCAAGTCTGTGATAGTCCAGCCAACTGTATTTGGAACATCCCCAGGCAATTTTGAAGCACACCCATGATTGGGGATTACTGAACTTTGTGACCTCTGAGGCCATTTGCAGCAAGGTTTTGTGTGTGAAGGCCCTTCTTAAATTATAAAATTCTGTCCACAAGTCTTGACTCCAGATGTTACCAGGCCCCCAAGACTGGGGAACTGATGATTCAGGCTGGGGCTACAGCTCCTCGGACTCGGGGAGGTTACGGACCCAGCCCTGGGCCACTCTGTTGAAGCTGGGTCTGAGGCGGAGGAGTTCCAAGCCACTGAGGGGCTCCGGGATGAAGGGGGTGCCTGGCCTGGGAAAAGTGCCCCCCAAGAGGGGTCCTCCAAATGGCACCGGGGTCCTGGAGAAAGAGAGCAGCAGAAGAGGTGGGCTGTGTGGGACAGAGACAGCAGGACACTGACATGTGGGTCACCACGTATGGGCCCTTCCCTGCCTCGCTCTGAGCCTCAGTTCCCCCTTCTATACAGCAAGATTCTGTACATCTTGAGAGGTTTTTCCAACTTCACCCATTTCCAAGTTTGCGCCTACTTGGGTGGCTCGTTGCTTAGCAATAGAAATGAAGCTGATGGGGTGAGAATTGATTTGTCCTAGGCAAGACTAACCTCTCCTTCAGTATAGCTTCGCTTAGGACAAAAGATCCAAAAGTAGAGAGAGAAAAGAGCATTAGAAAGAGCACTGAAAATCAGGGGGGAAATGCAAATTACAACAGACATGCCATTTCTCCTCCAGGAGACTGGCACAGTGAAATAATTTGATAATGGAGCAAAGCTGGTGAGGTGACGGGGGCAAAGTTTCACACGTGCTGCTTGTTAGAGAGTAAGCCAGTGCTGCTACTGAAGAAGACAATCTGGCAGGACCTTTCTAACTCGAAATGTGTGAACGCTGTGACCCCGCATCTCCACCTCCAAGCATATGGCTTAGGGAAGCACAGACATGCAGGCACTAGGATGCAGACCTGAGCAGCACATTAGTGACAAACCAGAAACAACCCATATGTCCACTAGCAGGGAAATGGGTAAGACAGGTACAGCATGTTCACATGATAGAAAACTATACAGCAGTCTGGGCACAGTGGCTCATGCCTGTAATCCCAATATTTTGGGAGGCTGAGGCAGGCAGACCAGCTGAGGTCAGGAGTTTGAGATTAGCCTGGCCAACATGGCGAAACCCTGTCTCTACTAAAAATACAAAAATTAGCTGGGTGTGGCAGCGGGCACCTGTAATCCAAGCTACTTGGGAGGCTGAAGTGGGAGAATCGCTTGAACCTAAGAGGCTGAGGTTGTAGTAAGCCGAGATTACACCACTGCACTCCATCCTGGGCGACAAGAGCGAAACTGTGCCAGGAAGAAACGAAGGAAGGAAGGAAGGAAGGAAGGAAAGGAGGGTGGGTGGGAGGGAGGGACAGAGAACACTATATAGCAGCTTAAAAGGAAGGACCTAGAGCTCTACATATTAGTATGGTAGATTTTGAAAGCATACTATTGAGTAAAAAATGCAAGTTAACAGAGTGAAATGCAAAGTATTAAAACACACATACACACACACACACACAAATGCCATTCCCCCTACAGGAATAGGGGGCCACACAAAATGTTCTGAGCCCATACAGGCCAGCCTGACAACTGTGTCACCTTTGGGAAGGCAACTGCGTTTGGAGGACAGTGAGCACAGGGGCTCTACACTTATTTGCCTAACGTGTTTTAAAAGAGATTTTATGTGATTTTAATAATAATGTTTTTGTTTTGTTTTGTTTTGTTTTGAGACACAGTCTCACTCTGTCACCCAGGGTAGAGTGTAGTGGAACAATCTCGGCTCACTGCAACCTCTGCCGCCTGGGTTCAAATGATTCTCCCACCTCAGACTCCTGAGTAGCTGGGATTACAAGTGTGAGCCAACAAGCTCCGCTAATTTTTGTATTTTTAGTAGAGACGGGGTTTTACCATGTTGGCCTGGCTGGTCTTGAACTCCTGACCTCAAGCGATCCACCCACCTCAGCCTCCCGATAGGCGTGAGCCACTGCATCTGGCCTTAATACTGTTAGTTAATTTTAAGAAAAATAAAAATCATTGCTCGTATTGTTTTCCAGCAGTCTGGGACCAGTGGGAAGAGGAGAGTGCTTGCCTCTGGGGTGGAAAGACAAATCTCGGGCCAGGGCCTGGGTCTCAGCCAGGAAGGCATTTCTGCCTGGACCACCCCAGTTTTGGTGGCAACAGCCAGGCCTCGGAGAAACAGGCTGGGTGGTGTCCAAACCATGGAAGCCTTACAGTCAGGCCCTTGACCAGGATCCCAGGGCTCTGGATGCTCAGCCAGTCTTGGCCACCCAAACTGCTGTTTCTCTTCTCCATGCCTCAGTTGCCCTTTCTCCCTCAGAAGAGACCTGGGTGCAGGGCTCCCTAAGACCCTATTTCTGCTGCTGGGAATGTGCCTTGCTGTCATACTTGAGGCATGAGATCAGGGGGAGATGCAACCTGAGTGGCCCAGCCTGGAAGCTGCCTTCCAGGACTGAATGTCTGCCGAAGTTTTCAAACGGCTGGGCAGGCAGGGTCTGAGGGCCCAGGAGGGGAATTGGGCCTAGCAGGCACTGTGGGCAGTCCTGCCTGGCGGGGAACCCCAGAGTGTCTGCTCGTGACTCACACAGCGCCTGCTAGGCCCAGTTCTTCCCATCAGGACCCTCTCTGGCTATTCTGATATTTGAGGGCAGTCAAATCCCTCTGGAGCTGTCTCTTCAAGACGGATCACCCCCAGTTTCTTCAGCCCTTCCTCACAAGGTCTGGTTTTCCAGGCCTAGCCAGGCTCCCGCGCCCACCCATCTGTCTTAGACAGACACAGTCTCCATGTGTGGTCTGAGCAAATGCCAGAAGAGCTGGACCGTGGTGTCCTCCCTGTGGACTCCCCTTTTCCTCACTGAATGCAGCCCAAACCAGAGGAGTATATTCAGAAATAGCATCAGAGCAAGGAGGCCAACGCAGCTGAAATGCACCCTTGGCTCAAGGCTTCCTCCAGTGCCAAGCTCCTGTCTTGATTCCTATGGTTTGTTTTCAGGCCCCCAATGCAGAATGCTTAATGTATCTCTCCCAAGCTCTCCCCTGTCCAAACCTCATCTCAGCTGTAAATAATAATCATAATAGCTACTGTTTGTTCTAAGTTTCTTACTTACCAGAAACTTTACCTATGGCTTCTCATGTCATCCTCATAGCAACCCTATGAAGTAGGTGCTGCAAACGCCTCATTTTATGGGGAAATGGAGGCTCAGAGAGGTTAGGTCACTTGCCCAAGGTCTCACCGGCAGGCCTGGGGTCTGCATTTAAGTCCACGTGGAGGCCCCATGCTCTAAACCAATATGGGCCACTGTTGTGTGGCCCTCCCTCTGGCTTGTTTCAGTGCCACTCTCCACTTTGGGCCAGCTTCAGAGCCACCTTGTTGGTCTCTTCTAGGACATTAGTGAAAGGAAAAGCTGGGCTGGCCTCAAACTGCTGAAGTCTGGGGACCCCTCAGGGAAGGACACAAACCTAGATGTTCAGCAAAGAAGTAGCACACAGCAGTCATGGAGAACAAGACGCTGGGTTCTGAAGTCAGACAAACCCAGTCCCGAACCCCAGTCCTGCCGGGGCTCCCTTGTTTTGTGGCTTTGGCTGGGTTGTTCCTATTCCCGAGCCGCAGCCTCTTCATCTGCAGAGCAGGAAAACTCATAGCACCTGTCCACCGTGTCCTGGAGAAGACCCAACAAAACGTGCGGCACCTTCACTCTGCATTCCTCCCACGTGTACCGAGCACCCACCAGCTGCGGAGGCGCTGTTCCAGCCAGAGCTCAGTCAGTGAATTAGAAAGCGCTGGGGACAGAGCCTGGCCCGCAGAAAGTGCTCAGGAAACGCAGGCTCCCCGCCCCTCCCCGTTTGTCCCGGGGCTGCCCGCCCCGCCTTACTTGTTGAAATTTCGGTAGTCGTTGGGGCTAGGGGTGTGACTTCGGCCATCGCTCTGGTAGTCCCGGTAGCTGACGAACTCCTGCCAGGGGCAGCGGTAGCCCTTGGGGATGGCAGTGTGGTTGAACTTCTCCGGCGGGACGCCCTTCAGCGGCTCCGCATAGCCTAGGGGCGAGGGGATGGGCGTCTTGGTTCTTCCACCTCAGTCCCCACCTCCATCCCGCGGACGCGGCCGGGGGAGGGACGATCGGAGTTGGGGTGGGAGCGGTGGGATGGGATGACACAGTTGCTCCAGCACCGGAGACCCTTCCCCATCCCAGGAAACACGCTGGACCTCAGTGAGGAAGCCGCGAGTTCGCGGCGCGGGCTGCAGTGTTGGCCTTGGCTGAGTCGCTGCGTGACCGACCTGGGGCTCTGCACTGCGCCCCTCCGGCGCGTGGTCCGGCGAGCCGAGTGCGGGCGTGCGCGTGTGTGTTGGGGAAGGGGGCGGATTAGCTTTCTGAGTGCTCTTGCTGCCCCGTGGGGAGCACACCCACGCTCCAGGCGTCCCAGCCCTGGTCCCGGGACCCCAGGAGGACACTCACCTGGCGCCAGGGCGCTGGGGCTGGGGACCCACCCCGCAGGGGCGGCTGCAGAGTGGGCGTCTTCGGGACCCGCGAGTGAGGCCCCGGGTGAGGCCGGGAAGATGTGGAGCTCCGAGCGGTAGTTTTGCCCCTCGGGACCATTGGCATTGGCAACCTGGGCACAGAGGCGTGCTCTCAGAGGCCACCGACGGCCTCCCGCCCCCAGCCACCCGCCCCTTCCCTCAGCTTCCCTTCCAGGGAGTTCCCCTCCATGCTCACCGTCCCCGGCTCCGCTGTTCCAGTCACCTTCCTCTTGGCGCTTCCGGCCAGCATCTGAGAGCGAGGGGGTGGAATAAACCGCGGAGAGGCTCAGCGGGGCAGGGGACCAGGGAGGGTTCTCCCTCCACCAAAAAAACAAAAGGCGGGGCGGGGGGGAGGCAAGAATCCTAACGCCCATCATCAGGGAACAAGGATGAGTTACTAGTTTACAGCGCTAAGCCCAGTGCCTGGGACCGAAAAATACTCCATATATGTTAAAAGAAATACTCGATATATGTTAATTGCTATTGTAATGCTGAGTCCGAGCAAGAAACTTAGTTTCCCTGAGCCTCAATGTCCATCTCTATAGAATTAGGATGATGGTGATGAAGATCTACCTCGGAGGGGTCTATGAGCATTAAATGAGAACCTGCAGAGTGCTTAGCTAGCACCTTCTTAGGCACGTACAAAGGCGGGTGTTTTGCCATCTTCATTTTTCTGCCACATCCCTCTCAGCTGCCTCCTGTCTAGGCCAGAAGTTAAGTGAAGGGTGGATGGAAGAGCCCTGGCTTCCTTAGAAGTATTCTGGAACTGCCTGCTGCCTTTCTAAAGCAGCGGGAAGATCCATTCTTGCCTTTCTTCTCCGCCAGCAGGTTATTCCATGACCTTTCTCCTTCCTCCAGTGGGAAGAAGAAAAAAGGGTATTCTACATTTTCCATCTCGGATGAGGCCCAAGCCTGAACTAGATCCTGCCTGCTGCAGATTCAGCCGCGAGCGCATGCCTGTCTTAGCATTTGTTGTTGTGGTGGTGGTAGGGGCCAGCATGCCTGTCTTCGCTTTTTTTTTTTTTTTTTTTTGTAGAAGCCAGAGTTCCTTCACTCCAAGTCTTATCCTCATCCCCCCAATCCACTTTGTTTTGTATCCAGGGAGACATGCCTAAAAACATAACACTTTTCAGCCAGGCGCGGCGGCTCCTGCCTGCAGTCCCAGTACTCTGGGAGGCAGAGGCGGGTGGATCATCTGAGGTCAGGAGTTAGGGGCCAGCCTAATCAACACAGTGAAACCCTGTCTCTACTAAAGGTACAAAACTAGCCGGGCGTGGTGGTGCATGCCTGTAATCCCAGCTACTCGGGAAGCTGAGGCAGGAGAATCGGCTGAACCGGGGAGGCAGAAGTTGTGGTGAGCCAAGATGGCACCATTGCACTCTAGCCTAGACAGGAGCGAAACTCTGTCTCAAAAAAAAACAAAAAAAGGTAACACTTTTCAAGGATCACACAGAAAGGCAGGGACTTAATCTGATGGGTACATCACAGTCTTCAGCCTGGCTTACCGTTTGGCTTTAGGCTAACCACTGGCTCTCTATGGGCCTCAGTTTCCCCGAGAGCACAATGGTGGCTTACTCACCACTCGCTGACTTTCTGCTAACTCAAAAGTGAACTTCTGCACACGGCGCTGCCTCTTCTGGAAGAGGAGGGACCCTCTGTTGTTGCGTAGTGACAGCTCCTCCATCATCAGGTCCTGGGGCACGCTCAGCTTCTTGCCCAGGTCCAGTGTAGGGACTGCCAGGAAAGGCCAGAGTGGGCTCTCACCACCCCATCCCCCATGTGCTCCAGGCCTAGCCTCCCGAGGCACCTCCTCAGCATGGCATGCTGTGTGTAAGAATACCTGTTTCTCCCCAAGCTTGCCGACACCCACACCAGGTATCATGATTCTTTGGAATCTTTGCTCACCTGATGGGCCAAAATGACACCTCAGAGTTTAATTTTCATGTGTTTGTTGCTCAGTGGAGTTTAGCACTGTTTCAGAAGTTCTTTGGCCATTTGTATTTATTGCACGAACTCCCTGTGCAGGCCTTTGCCCATAAAAGTGGAGGTAGTGAGAAATCGTCAGATTCTAGATTTTTTCTGAGACAGCGTCTCGGTCTGTTACCCAGGCTGGAGGGCAGTGGTGCGATCTTGGCTCACTGCAACCTCCGCCTCCCGGCTTCAAGCAATTCTCCTGCCTCAGCCTCATGAGTAGCTGGGACTACAGGTGCGTGCCATCACACCCAGCTAATTTTTGTATTTTTAGTAGAGACGGGTTTTCACCATGTTGGCCAGAATGGTCTCAATCTGTTGACCTCATGATCCGCCCGCCTTGGCCTCCCAAAGTGCTGGGGTTATAGGCGTGAGCCACCACACCTGGCCCAGATTCTAAAAATTGATATTTTTTAAAGGTAAGCCATGGGTATGGGCAATGAGAGACAGAGGAGTTGAGGACGAGACCATGAGGTTTCTGGCCTGAGCCTGGGGAAGGATGGAGCAGCGGCTCACTGAGATGGGGAAGGCAAAGGGAGGAGAAGGTTCAGTGTTAGACATGTGTCCTTTTAACTTTAAAATAGTCTTTTATTATTATAAAAAAGCATATATGGGCCGGGCATGGTGGCTCATGCCTGTAATCCTAGCACTTTGGGAGGCCAAGGCAGGCGATCACCTGAGGTCAGAGGTACAAGACCAGCCTGGTCAACATGGCCAAACCCCATCTCAACTAAAAATAGAAAAATTAGCTGGGTGTGGTGGTGCATGCCTGTAATCCCAGCCACTCCAGAGGCTGAGGCAGGAGAATCACTTGAACCCAAGAGGCGGAGTTGCAGTGAGCTGAGATTGCACTGCTACACTCCAGCCTAGGCAACAAAGTAAGACTCTGTCTCAAAAAAAAAAAAAAAAAATCATATCGAAGCACTGAAGAAAGTTAGAAAATACACATATCAGACAAAAAAGAGAAAAATACCATTATCTGTTACCCAGAGATTGTCACTTTTAACATCTTAGTGTATGCTCTTTCATGTCTTTTTCAATGACTATATTCATATGAGGTTTTAACCAAAATAAAATCATAGCATACATTTTGTAACTTGTTTTTATCACTTAAAGATCTCCACCTTTACAAGTACCTAATATCTAGTCCCTATGCAAACTGTGCTAATTATCTCCAAAACTGGGCACATGAAGTTTGAGGAGACTTGCAGGCATCTAAGTGGCGGTGCTGAGGAGGGAGATAGATGTGGGAATCTGGTTCATGGGAGAAAACCGACCTGGAGGTCAAAATGTGGGCATCATGAACTTTTACTGGTTTTGTTATTGTTATTTTTCAATGAAGAACATTACATTTATTTCTTTTCTCGTCGTGCGAACTAGTCTTTATAGCATTTAGAGGATTTTCAGGGTGATGACTATTCTTACTAGTTTGGGACCCATCCCTATCCTTTGTGCTTTTCCAACCAGCAAAATCCAAACTTTCATGTTTGACCAACAAAGGAAGCCTTTTGCACGACAGGGGGGACAGAATGGTGAGGACCTTGGCAGGCAAGAGCCCTGTGTGGGCAGCTCGGCCTGCCTGGTCCATCTCTAAAATCGGATACACATACGTTCACATTCCAGCTCCATAAATGGTATTCAGCTGGGAGGCTGAATGAGATCACAAAGAAATGAGAATAGATAAAGAGGACCAGAGATGGAGCCTGGGGCCTCCAACACTGACAATGAGGCAGTGAAGAGGAACCAAGCCAGGAGCCTGGGCAGGAGCAGCCCACAACGTCGGAGGAAAACAAAGAGGATGGCGTCCTGGAAACAAATGATGAAAGCATTTCAGGTACCATAGAGAGACTAACAGAGTCACATGCTGCTGATATGTCAAGAAAGATGAGGGCTGAAAATTGACTACTATATTTAGTAACACAAGGTCGTTGGTAATCTTCGTTAAAGCAGTTTCTACGGAGTGTTTGGGTGTAAAAGCCTGACTGGAGAGGGTTCAAGAGAAAATGGACAGAGGAACAAGTTTAACCACACCACAAGGAAGCAATAAGCCAAATCCAGGACACCGGATATTCTACAGGACAACTGGCCTGGTTTTTTGAACAAGTGAGTGACATGGAAAAAAAAAGGGCAAAGGGGTTGTTTTAGATTAAAGGAGATTTAGGAGCCATAGCAACCAAATAAAAACTGTGGCCCTTGTTTGGATTCCGATGAAAACAAACTAGGAAACTCAAGAAGGTTGAGTACGGACTGCTTATTAATTGGTATTAAATCATTAGTGCTAATTTTGTTCTGTGTGCTAATATCTTTGTGGCATGTAAGGAAATGCCCTTTTATCATTTTCATGCATGCTGAAGAATTTGCGGGGGAAAATGACGTACTTTTTGGTATTAGCTTTGAAATTTAGGAATGAAGGAGGGACCATGTACTCTTTATTTGTGTGTGTGTGTGTGTGTTTGGAAATTGACTAATAAAATGTCAGAGAGAAAGAGAGGATTGGTAAGAAAAATATAGACAACTGCTTGGAGGAGTTGAGCTCTAAAGGATTCTGGCTACAGACAGCTATGGGATCAAGAGGGGTTTGTTTGTTTGTAAAGATGGAGAAATTACAGCATGTGCGTTAACTGATGGGAACATTTGACAATGCAATAGAGAGAGTTGAGAATTGCTGAAGGAATGTCCTTGAGCAGGAGTGATAGGAGAGCTGGGTGTCCAGGGCCCAACCAGAGGAGCTGGCACCAGGCAGGTGTGAGGTGAGTCCATCCACCACCACAAACACGGACACAGATGCAAGCAAGTCAGCTGTGGCAGAGGATGCTTGTAGATGCTCTCTCCTGGTTACTTTGTTTCTCAGTAGAATAAGAAGCAAGGTCTTTAGCTGAGAATGAAGTTGTGCAAGGAGGTACTGGAGGTTTGAGGAGAGGGGTTGCCAAAGTCATTAAGAGAGTAGTATGGGAGAGTGAATGAACTAGGGAGATAGACATGGCCACTGGGCAACATTGGGGGTCACGCAGGTGCTGTGATTCATGCCAGTCAATGGACACTGATTTTTTTCATTCTTTCAACAAATACATAAAGTGCACTTTATATGTGCTAAGAACAGAAAGAAATCGACTATAGGCCAGGTGCAGTGGCTCATACCTGTAATTCAGCACTTTGGGAGGCAGAGGTGGGCAGATCGCTTGTGGTCAGGAGTTCAAGACCAACCTGGCCAACGTGGCGAAACCCTGTCTCTACTAAAAATACAAAAATTAACTGAGCATAGTGGCGCATGCCTGTAATTCAACTACTTGGGAGGCTGAGGCACAAGAATCACTTGAAGCCAGAGGTGGAGTTTGCAGTGAGCTGAGATGGTGCCACAGCACTCCAGTATGGGTGACAGAGACTCTGTCTCAAAAAGAAAAAAGAAAAAGAAGAAAAAAAAATCCAGTATAAATTAATTGGAGGGGAAAGTAAGATTCAGAAGAATACATATTCTAAAATTTCATTTACATTATACTTATATATATATTATATAAGATATATATGTATGATATATATTTTATATATATATATGGAGAGAAAAAGAGATACAGAGTCTTGCTCTGTTGCCCAGGCTGGAGTGCAGTGTGTGATCTTGGTTCACTGCAACCTCTGCCTCCTGGGTTCAAGTGATTCTCCTTATGTTTAGTTATAACTATTATATATATATATATATATATTTATTTTTTTTTGAGATTGAGTTTCTTTCTTATTGCCCAGGCTGGAGTACAATGGCACCATCTTGGCTCACTGCAACCTCTGCCTCCAGGGTTCAACTGATTCTCCTGCCTCAGCCTCCCGAGTAGCTGGGACTACAGGCACACACCACCACGCCCAGCTAATTTTTGTATTTTTAGCAGAGACGGGGTTTCACCATGTTGGCCAGGCTGGTCTCGAACTCCCGACCTCAGGTGATCTGCCCATCTTGGCCTCCCAAAGTGCTGGGATTACAGGTGTGAGCCACGGTGCCAGCCGAGCTCAATATTAAAATAAAAATAAAAATGGGCAGGCATAGTGACTCACAACTATAATCCCAGCACTTGTGGAGGCCAAGGTGGGTGGATTGCTCGGGTGGAGGAGTTCTAGACCAGCCTAGACAATATAGCAAGATGCTGTCTCTATTAAAAAAATAAAAAAAGATAAAACCTATTTGACCAAGTAATTCTATTTCTAGGAATTTATTCTCAGGGAAAAAGTTGAATAAATATGTCTAAAGATATATGTACAAGAATGTTTATTGCAGTGGGGTTTACAATTGTGAAAACTGGGACCCAGTCTTGTGGTGGATGATGCCCAGATGCCCCTTATTAGTGGGCAGTAGTCCACACCACCACCTTCTTTTTTTTTTTTTTTTTGAGACCGAGTTTTCGCTCTTGTTACCCAGGCTGGAGTGCAATGACGCAATCTCGGCTCACCGCAACCTCCGCCTCCTGGGTTCAGGCAATTCTCCTGCCTCAGCCTCCTGAGTAGCTGGGATTACAGGCACGCACCACCATGCCCAGCTAATTTTTTTGTATTTTTAGTAGAGACGGGGTTTCACTATGTTGACCAGGATAGTCTCGATCTCTTGACCTCGTGATCCACCCGCCTCAGCCTCCCAAAGTGCTGGGATTACAGGCGTGAGCCACTGCGCCCGGCGACACACCACCACCTTCTACAGAGAACTGCCAGTGGAATGGATGCTGCCACAGCGCCCTTGCCTCAGGTGGGATGAATTCTGTGGAGCAATTCATGCTTGAGAGCTCCCCACAGGATCACACTGAATGTGGACAGTCACTGAGCCCACATCCTTGCTTGGCAATACCCCACCCTAGGCTGCATTCCTCCTTTCCTTCTGAGAGTGCTCTCTCAATAAGTCACTTGCACAAGGCTCCTCTGGTTCTGCCCTGCAGGATCTCACCTGAGACAAGCCTCATGACCACCGTTAGGCATTGATAAAATACACATAACGTGTCCAAACAGCAGAATGCTGGCAAGCACGGAAATGAAGGTATGAGATAAATCATACTAGGATGAAATGCTGCTACATGAAAAAAAAAAAAAGCCAAAGAACACAGCATATAGTATTTAGCCCATGTGTATGTATGTTTATATAAAGACATTCATATATGAACAGAAAAAGAATTTACATAAATATGTTAACAGTGGTTATCTCCAGATAGTTCCATTACGACCAACTTTCACTTTCAAAGCCGTTCATGTCTGTTTTGTCTGATTAGGAAAAAATTTTTTTAATGTACACCAAGTCAATGGCAACTTAATTTTTTTTAAAAAGTGATGTGTTATGCATTACATTACCATGTAACCATATAATAAAGAAACGGGCCAGGCATGGTGGCTCACGCCTGTAATCCCAGCACTTTGGGAGGCCGAGGCGGTTGGATCACGAGGTGAGGTGTTCAAGACCAGCCTGGCCAACATGATGAAACCCTGTCTCTACTAAAAATACAAAAATTAGTTGGGCGTGGTGGTGGGCGCCTATAATTCCAGCTACTCAGGAGGCTGAGGCAAGAGAATCGCTTGAACCCAGGAGGCGGAGGTTGCAGTGAATCGAGAGTGGGCCACTCCAGCCTGGGCGACAGAGTGAGACTCTGTCTCAAAATAATAACAACAACAGAAACTAATAATAATATTAAAGAAAGAGCTCTGGAGACAAAGACACCTGGAGTCACACTGCAGCTCTGCCACCTACCAGATGTGACCACCGGCTCCTCTGACCCTCAATATTTTCATTTCCAAAATGAGGATAATACCAAACTTACAGAGTTGTTGTGGAGGTGAAGTGACACAAAGCATAAAGGATACTTTTAGCAAAGTATCTGCCACACAGTAAGCATGCAATGATGGTAAACATTTTTATGGTTTTTACTTTACAGTGGCTGTCTTTAGGTGGTAAGATTATGAGATTTATTTTTTCTTCCTACTTTTGTTTCAAAATTGTCTTTAGTTAGGACCTTTCCAATAATCAACAAGTTATATATTTCAAGTCTTGCATGAATCCATATTTGGGGGCCTGTAATTAATTAAATCCCCAAGAGAAAAGAGGATGCATTGCCTGACCCTTCTAGTTAGAGTGTCAATACTCATAGAAGGTGCATATTTTAGCTACAAAATCAGGGCGGGGGAAGAAACTGGACATCAACAAAAGGATGCAAGAACACACAAAATAGTTGAAAAGGATGCCACGCATAAAGTCAGAAAATATGACCGACTCCTTAGAACACTGAAGGCAAATGTACCAACCCTACTTCAGGTCCCCTGAAATGGAATCCCTGGGAGTAGATGCTGGGAGTCTGTATGCTTAACAAATATCAAGTCACTATGATTCACACTAAAGCTTGAGAGCTCTGGCTTAGTTGAAACTGGCCCAAGCTGGAGTGCAGTGGCACAACCATAGCTCATTATAAGCCTCCAAATCCTAGCCTCAAACAATCCTCCTACTTCAGCCTCCTGAGTAGCTGGGACCACAGGCATGTGCCACAATGCCTGGCTAATTTTTTTTTTTTTTTTGGTAGAAATAGAGTCTCACCATGTTGCCCAGGCTGGTCTCAAACTCCTGGGCTCAAACAATCCTTCCACCTCAGCCTCCCAAAGTGCTGGGATTACAAACGTCAGCCACTGTAACCAGCCCCTGAATTAATCTTTAAAATTCCTGAAATGTGGCCGGGTGCAGTGGCTCACACCTGTAATCCAGCACTTTGGGAGTCCAAAGTGGGTGGATCACGAGGTCAGGAGTTCAAGACCAGCCTGGCCAACACAGTGAAATCCCGTTGCTACTAAAAATACAAAAATTAGCTGAGTGTGGTGGCACACGCCCATAGTCCCAGCTACTTGGGAGGCTGAGGCAGGAGAATCGCTTGAACCCGGGAGGGGGAGGTTGCAGTGAGCCAAGACCGCCATTGCACTCTAGCTTGGGTAACAGAGTGAGACTGTCTCAAAAAATAATAATAATAAAATAAATAAATACATTAAATACCTGAAATGCTGTAAAGTGGACCAAATAAACAGATTCCAAAGTTATATCAAGAGTTCCGGAATAGGTCTTATAAAATTGATAAAAATGAATTTAAGCTTTTTAAATGCAATGATAAAAATGATTTGTTCATTTGATGAGTTATCTTTTAAGTAAAAAGTTTTGTATCCAAATGGGCGGCCTGCTCTTCCCGCCCTGCTCTACTCTCTCCACTCCCCTGTTGGCCATGGGGCCCAGCTGTCCTGGGCCATCCAGAGGCCTTAGTGAGACCCACAGGAGCAATAGGCAAGGGCAAGTGTGTGCAGAGCTTGCAGCCACAGGTAGGGCTGAAACTGGGACCGGAATCTCCAGAGCTTAATTTGGGGCTGAGATGGGGCCTTAGATGAAACCAGGGTCATTTTAGCCTCAGCTCCTGGGTCTGTGGACAGAGGAACAAGACCCCTCCTGGTACCTCACAAAGCTTCCCAGCCTAGGCGACAGGTTCCACAGGCACTCCTTCAGGCTGGTCTGGAGCTCACACCTGTCTGCCCAGGCCTGGGGCCAGCAAGCCAGAGTGAGTGCAGCCTGGGAGCGAGGAAAAGATGGAGGCTGAGGAAAGCATGAGGCTAGACCCACCTTACCTGGTTCAGTGAGGTCCCCCATGGCAGCCATCACTGGCCCCTTCTGCTCCTTGGGGATCATCCTGTGGAGGAGAGACCCCATCAATGGACCAGGCTGCCTCCATTTCTCCCCAGACCTCCTTCAAGTCCCTGGCTCATCCTGCCCCAGTCTTGAACAGCTTCAACCCACCCTAAAATCACAAGCAAGGGATGTCTGAACTGGAAGCGCCCTCAAGGTCATTGTGCAGAGGAGACTGAGGCCCACGGGAGGAAGAGGGAGGTGCCCAAGTTTGCACAAATCTATTTTCATGCTGCTAAGGAAGCACTGTCTCTTCTAGGGCCTTTTCCCAGCTCCGGCATCCTGATCAGAGGGAGTGTAGGTGCCTGGGGCATCTGGGTGGGGCAGGCAAGGGTCTCAGGCACACTATCATATGTTGAGACTTGAGAGCCCTATTTCAAGGCTGAAAGAGGTTGGTGGCTTAAGTTAGTGGAGGGGGAGCATGGGCTAGGCTGGGGTTACACTGGGGTCTGCAAGGCTGGTTGCCCCTCTCATCCCTGGCACTTGTTGGGAAGCTGAGAGTTGCATGATGTCCCTGTAGGCAGTCAGCAGTCTGGTCCAACCAAGCAGAGAGAACCATTCCCCATCCTCCCCATCTCCCCATTACTGGGCTAACTTCCATGGTGTTCTCTTCTCCCTCATCCCTTCTCTTCCTCCTCCTCCTCCATCCTCCCATTTGAATCTCATGGCACTTTCCAGAAATCTTGGAAGAGATTTACAAACAAAATGAGGTCCAGAGCCCTTAACTTGCCCAGGTTCCTTAACTTGCCCTCTGGTGAAGAGGCAGAGCCTTTGATCTCCTTGGCTGACCACGCACCCTGGTACCCTTCTCCTTTGCCTCCAGGTTTTTCTATACTCCTTCCTTTAGAAAACAATCTGCCTTCACCTGTACCCTCAACACCCACACGAGGCCCTGGGCCAGAGGGCACTGTGGTGTGCAACTGGAGTCTAGTGGGTGTCCCTGACTTCCTCTGTAACTACGAACAAGTAGCTCTCCAGCTCTGCACCTCAGTTCCCCGGTCTGTAACATGAGGGAGCTGGGCTAAATCATGGAGATCCATGGATAGGCTTTAGGGCGTTCATAAGCCTGCTAAAACAGCATGCAAACATGAGTGTGTCTACATGCATTTGGGGCGAGGGTTATGGGATGATTGAGAATGCCCCAATCATGACTGTTTAGGATTCCACAGTCCACAGATCTGTTTCTTGATAAACACTCCCTTTATAGAAGTTCATGGACACTGGGAAGAGTCTCTCATTTTACAGAGAGAGAAGCTGCTTCCCTCTACTGCCTAAAAATCCCAAAGTCTTGAGCAAAGCTGTTATCTATTCCCCACCTTTAATCCTAGCCGCATCCTCCCCATTTAATGCAGAGTTAACTAGAGCTTAGAGCGTCTCTCCTCCTAAACCAGGATCTAGGCTTCCAGGGGGCCCCACGGTCACCAGATCCACTGCAGGGCCCTTCCTCTCCTGGTGATGGACCGCTAGGGATTGCCACATCTCCTCTGCCCACTACCCCAAGTTCCCCAAGCTCCCCTAGGATGCTGGTACCTGAAAGGATGGGACCACAGTGGGCAGGAGGGAATCTTAGACCCTCAAGATTAACACCTCTGTTGGGAAGCTGAGAGTTGTGTGGTGTCCCTGTAGGCAGTCAGCGGTCAGCAGTCAGTAGTCAGTGAGCAGGGTGTGCCCCGTAGCCAGCTCTGGCTTTAGCTGCTGAGAATCATTCCTGCCTTGCCGTGGGTCACTGCCTTATTTCGGGCTGCAATAGGAGCAGGTCAGATGCTAAAAACATCAGACCCCAGGGAAGACAGGTGCCCTGGCAACAGGCCTTTGCAGACAGAGGGCTTGCACCCACATGTACATGCATGCTCACATATGCACACGCCAAAGTCACCTGGAAATGCTGAGGGTCAGCTGCTGGTAGCTTCCTCTTGTTAACTGTTATATCCTTAGTGCCTGACAGAGCTCAGTAGATATTTGTCAAATGAATGAATCAATGGATGGTTGGATGAATTGTTCCCCAATATCTTTGTTTGACTTATTCTTTTCTTCCTTCCTTTCTTCTCTCCTGCCTTTCTTCTTCTGTCTCCTTCCTGCCTGCCTCTTTTTTCCCTTCCTCCTTCTCTCTTTCCCTCCCTCCCTCTACCTTCTCACATTTCCTGAGCCTCTCTTTAAGGACTGAAAATAAATAAGGCAGGGCTCTGTCTTCAAGGAGCTCAGCCAGGTCAGATTCAGACGGGTAAACAAGCTTTGGGAAAGGCTCTGGGAGAGCCCAGGGGAGGGAGTTACCAGCTCAGCCTGGGGTGGGGGGTGAGAAGGCTTCCCAGAGGAGGACATACTGGAGTTGAGCCTTGAAGGAGGAGTGGGAGTTCACTGGGCAGAGAAGGGGCATGGCAGGTAGTGGACATGTCACCTATGAAGATGGTAGGGGGTTGGCAAGTAGAGCCAGAGCTGGAGGCAGTTCTAAGAGATCAGCTCAGACAGTGGGGGTAGGGGCCAGATCCTAGCAGGCTTTCTAAAGGAAACTGTGTTGATAAAGGGTTGCTGATGAGATTAAACTAGTGAAACTGAGTGATCGGATTGACATTTTCCAAAGACATCTTTGCTGCCATGTGGAGATGGGTTGGAGGGGGCCAGACTGGAGGCAGGAGGACCAACTGTCACCAGGTGAGAGATTCGGTGGCTGGATCAGGGCAGTGACAAGGGGATGGAGAGGAGAGGGAGTTAACGGGTATTTTGAAGAACCCCGGGGTCTTGGTGAGGAACTGGACATGGGAGGTGAGGAAAGGGAGTCCCACTCCCCTGTTTCATGCTTGGGTGACTGAAGAGGGAGGAGTAGGCGGAGTGGAGGCAGACACCGAGGTCAGTTTGGGATGAACTTGGCTTGAGGTTCTGGGCGACTGGGATGAGATCACCAGTAGGCAGTGGGACACTGTGCTGTGGCCAGGCCCCAGCCGAAGATAAAGATTGGGACCAGGGCACACACACCACTACTGGGGAAGGGTGGGCCTAGCGAGGATGGCTGGGTGCAGGCTGGGGAGCACTGTGTGTGTGCTGGCAGGCTGTGGCTGGGGTGGATTTCTGACACCTTCTCAGGACAGAAACCTGGATTCTGGTGTCCACTGCCCTGAGCTTAGCTTCCTGGCCCTCGGTGGGCCCAAGCTTCTAGAGAGAAAGAGTGAGGTGTATTCCCAGGGCAAGCTCAGCTTCACCTGGGAGCAGGACCACAATCCCCTTCTCTGGCCAAAGGACGCCACGTCAGGAGAGGATGCCTGATGTCCTCACCTCCTGGGGTTGCCTGGTCTGAGTCCTCGCCTCACTGGGGTTGCCTGGCTCAGACGAGACCTCTCACAGTGACTCCTTTCCTGCCTTGGCACCCCTGCCTGCCTTGAGGAAACAGCCCCAGAGCACAGACCCCTGATCCAGCTTGGCCTTGCTGGTAACAGTACTCTGTGGTCAGGGCCCTGACAATACCACCCTGAGACATTATCTAGACCAACTCTCCCCATCACATGGATGGAAAAGCTGAGGCCTGGAAGAGTGGGCTCACTCAGGGTCACCTAGCCAGGGACTTCTACGGCCTCAAGTTGTCTATTGTTCCTGTCTCTCATGGATGCTTGAGAGATCTTCCCACATTTCCATCCCATGTGTCTCAAATATTCCCTGCCACCCAGAGTCCCATGGACTTGGGGAGAAGGGCATCAAACACAACTGAAAATGACACAGGAGGCAGAAGAATGCAGGAAGCATTTATTGAGGGCCAGAGCTGAATTCTACAAGAGGCAGGACATAGGCAAGCTCTAGTGGGTTAGAGGAGAGGATGGGGAGAAAGCGGTGACAACGGGGGAACAGCCAGGGGCTGCCTCCTGCCAGCCCTTTGGGAAACACAGGTAGAGGTGGATCCTCTATGCTGTTGCCTCGGCCAGAGGCCTGATGGTGTCACTTCTCTGGGAGGGGCCCTTAGTCCCAGTCTCCTGTGCTGCGAGGGACCCTGCAGCAGGTGGGGGCTTAGGGAAATATAGTCACTCATCATTAACTGAGTAAGAGCACCTTCTCATCTTCGCACCAGCGGGAGCAGTGTCCTCATTCCTGAGGCCCAAGGAGCCCTCTAAGATCTCTCCTTTATTCTAAAGCACCCCATCCCCACCTGATCTTCCATACTGACCCTAACTCTCTCCAGCCTCACTTGGGGGTTCTAGATCTAACATCACCCTGGTGGGTGGGTAAGTCCCAAAACCACACTGTCCCACACCTTACGCAACATCCTAGTATCCTTTCACCTACATGCTTTTGATCCTCAGCCAATTCCTGCCCCACAGTTGATCCTGAAGCTAATATTCTGAACCTCTAGAAGGCTCTACCAGCCAACTCTGGAAACTACAGAACTCAGCCATATTCCTCCCTGACTCCCTCCTGGGGACTGGAATCAGAGCCACCAAGGTTTAAGGAACTAGTGAGGGCCTGCAGCCAGGCTCCCCAAGGTCACTGGGCAGTAGGCAATAGCTAGATCAGAGTGCACTGGGGAAGGGATGGGGCAGGACAGTGGCTACTTTTCTGGACACTGGAGTTGAGGTCTGACACTGAAGAAGGGGACATTTCCCAAGGGGGCAGAAATAACAGGCAGACCCTAACCTAACATCCCATTCACCTATCCAAGCTCATTGGCCCCTGAATTCAAGCCCACCTAGCCCACCACCACATCCTAATACCCCTGACTTCCTAATACCATGGAATGCATTTCAAGACTGGAAGAGCCCTCAGAGGTCATCTGAGCCAATCTTGTCCCCTGCTAGAATCTCCTGCTATGCATCCTGGCCATGACTTTCATATTTCCCATAACAAGTAACTCTATATCTCTCTCTTTCCAAATAAGCAACCCCAAACTGAGGGCAGTCAGGTAAAGCCACGTGGTAGCTCTGTATCTCTTCTCTCCCCAGCTCAGCTTTGAGCCCAGAATCTGCCGTGAATGGGCTCAGAAGGAACAGATGAGCTGGAGGCCTAAGTCCTGGGCCTAAGGAAAATCACTGCCTTAGAGTTCTCATATGGCTGCAGATAAGATGTCTCGGGCAGGCTGAACTGAAGTGAAGAAAGTAGCGTGACAGGGACCCGGAGAGAATTTTCCTGCCTCTTCTCTCCAGAGGGGACAGTGGGACACCTTGAGCTGGCCTGGGAGACCTCTCTAAAGGTCATTGTGATAAAAATAGAGCTTGTCTGGGAAGGGATGGAAAACAGCTGCTCCCGCCTGGGACTTGGTGCCAGGGAGCCGGATGGTCAGGCCAGTGCCTGGACATGGGACACAGGCCTAGGATCTTCTGAACACACCCCACTTGCCAGACTCCAGAGAGCAGAGCCAGAAGGGGAAGGAGGGGTATGGAACTCTGAAGGTGGCAAGTCCAGGGGTCAATATACACACTGCCCTGCCTCATTCAAGGCACTAACTAGTGTGTACGAGAGTGTGCGTGTGCGCGTGCGTGTGTATTGATGGGAAGGGGAATTTTGACATTTGTGGACTGCCTTGGCCAAAGCCACCATTAAACAGATGGGACAGCTGAAGGTCAAACCAGGAAGGGTCTTACCCGGGGTCACACAACAAGTGAATGAGAGCAGGTGCTAGAACTCAAGCTTGCGTCCCCAACCCATCCCCAAGCCCAGAGCTCTCCTCTGCTGACCCCTCATCTCTGGGGCTGCCCAGAGGCCAGACCATTTGGATTCCCCAGGTCTGATGAGCCTTCTTCTGGCTCTGCCCTCCTGGGGTGGGGTCGGGGGGTGGGGTTCTAGGTGGTGCAGGAGGCCTCGGCGGGGAGGCTGCCACGCTTGAGCCGCAGGCTGCCGTTCCACCCGCGGGGGCAGATATTGTAGCCGAGGATGCCGGGAGACTTAGCCCCGGAGTCCTCGGAGTCGAGGGACACGTCGGAGTCTGTGGGCGAGCGGCGGTAGAGGAAGGGCCTGGGAGGCGCGGGCAGCGGGCTCCGGGGACTGGTGCAGGAGGAAGGCCCGGGGGGCAGCGGGCTCCGCAGGATGGGCGCGAACGCTGCCCCCGGCACAGTGGCCTGGTCGGGGCGAGCGGGCTGCGGCGAGCGCATGCGCGGCGGCGGCGGCGGCGGCGCCCTCGGCGGGGAGAAGGGCCGCAGGCTCTCGGCTCCCGCCGGCCGCGGGGAGGCGCTCTTGCGCCGGGCCGCGTTGATGATGTTTCGCGCCAGAAGCGCCTGCAGCTGGCGGCTGGGGGGCCGCGCCTCGGTCTCGGGTCGCAGCGGGGACACCGAGCGCTCGCTCCACGAGGGAGACATGGGCGGTGGCAGCGGCGGGGGGCTGCTCATGCTGCTGCCGCGGCCTGGCTCCCACGGCCCCGGGCTCACCCAGCCGTCCAGGCTGCTGGGGGGCCGGGACGCGCCCGGCGTCCAGGGAGGGGAGGTGGGCAGGCTCTCCCGGCGGTCCTGGGGAGAGAGCAGAGGGGGCGGGGCAGGCATTAATTAGTGCTGGGGTCCTCCACGTCGGGCTTTAGGAAGGGACCGAGTCCGATTTGTCCATTACACCGAGAAGGGAAGCCACCGACCAAAGTCAGGCAGTGCCTGCAGTAAAACGCAGGTGCCCAAACCCTCAGCCCAGAACTCCTGATGAGTCCCCGCTGTCTTGTGTCTGCCCCCGTGTTAAGAAGGCTCGCTTTGGAGACAAGCGCCTTAACTTACTGACTGAGCTTGGACAAGTTATTTCACCCCTCTGGGCTTCAGTTTCTGCTTCTGTAAATGGGGTGTGATAACAGTACTTACCTTATAGTCTTGTTGTGAGGGTTAAATGAGATAACTGATGGAAAAGAACATTACATATATCGGCACATTCCTAAGTACTCAATAGATGTTGATTACCATAAAGAAATACTAGAAGGACTGGTTGCGGTGGCTCACGCCTGTAATCCCAGCACTTTGGGAGGCCGAGGTGGGTGGATCACCTGAGGTCAGGAGTTTGAGACCAGCCTGGCCAACATGGCAAAACCGCGTCTCTACTACAAATACAAATATTAGCTGGGCATGGTGGTGCATGCCTATAATCTCAGCTACTGGAGAGGGGTGGAGA